AAAATCAATAAAAAATATATTTTTAAAAAGTCCTATTTATTTTTTTCATAGCAAAATATCGTTTATTACTGATAAAAAGCTAGGCTGGAGGAAGGGGTTAGGAATACAGAAGCAATGGAATTTCTAAGACGGGTCAGTGTGGCACATGATGTTCCTCAAGGCCTTTCTGTAGTCAAGAAGAAAATTGTAGATTCTCTTTTATTTTCCAAATCAAATTATTTCCAGCCGCATTGACCAACATAACCTATCATAGGTCACGCAGTGAAACCCAATGAATCATAAAGGCACCCCGACAATAAGATGTGCTGAACTTGAACTTAACCCCCCTCAAATGTCAAATTACCAGGGAGTCCCAAGTCTGAAGTTAAGCCCCCTTACAAGTTAAGGTCCAAAGGAGTTAAAAGAAGAAATTACAGTCCGAAGTTAAATGATCTCACCCTCCATCAAGATTAAGTTCAAAGACATTACATTTCCATTTTTTATTCTCTTTAGTCTCGGCAAAGAGAATTCTTGATGTTCTGGATGGGGTTGCGTTCCCAATGCTGCCTGGGCTGGCTTTCCCGGAAGGGAGCTTAGAGTTTGGATTCATTCAACTCCAAGTCTCTGATGTGCCTCACTTTATTTTCTTTTTTTATAATTATTTCTTAATTGTGGTAAAATACACTTAGCTTGAAATTTACCATCTTAACCAATTTTCAGCGCACGGTTCAGTAGAATTAAGCACATTCACACTGTTGTGCAATCGTCGCCACCATCCATCTCCAGACTTCTTTTCATCTTGCAAAACTCAAACTCTGTCTGCATTAAAAAATAACTCCCGTTCTCCTCTCCCCCAGCCCCTGGCAGCCACCATTCCACGTTCTGTCTCTATGAGTTTGACTACTCTGTAAATTTGACTTCATAGCCCAGCTGGTGTGGCTCAGTGGTTGAGCATCAACCCATGAACTAAGTGGTCACTGGTTCAATTCCCAGTCAGGGGACATGAACGGGTTTGGAGCTTGATCCCCAGTAGGGGGCATGATCGATGTTTCTCTCTCATCGATGTTTCTATCTCTCTCTCCCTCTCCCTTCATCTCTATCTAAAAATCAACAAAAACACATTGTTTAAAAAATTTGACTTCATAGAAATGGAACCACACAGTATTTGTCCTTTTGTGACTGGCTTATTGCACTTAGCATAATATCCTCCAGGTGCATCCAGATTGCAACATGGGTCACAATTCGGTTCCTTTTGAAGGTTGAGTAATATTCCATTGTGTGTATACACCACACTTTGTCTATTCATTCCTCCGTCCAGGGACACTTGGGTTGCTTCCACCTTTGGCAATTGTGTATGTGACTCACTGTTGAAAGAGATCAAAAGGCTTAAACCACACAGAGAATCACAGTCCTGTCCTCACACCAATAACATTTAGAAAAATAATCCAATCCCTAGTCCCAGATATGCTCCAGGCAAAAATCACCTTTCTACAGGCCAGTACAGGATGCTGGAAAAAGCCATAGCAGATTCAGAGGGAATATTCTTCTCAGGCAAGAAGAGTAAGCGGTTATTTGAAGTGCTCTCAGTCATTGCCAGGTGACCATAACCCACGTGGAGGTTAATTGTGGCACCGTGTTTACGGTGTCTGGGGGAGATGAGCTCACCCCTGGAAACGGTCCTCTCTCTCAGAGACCAGCATTTGAGCCATTCCTGCCCTAAGCACATTTTCACGGTTCAGGGAAAAAAACACAATTAAAAAGGCGTCTCTCAAACAAGGATTTATATGCTGACTGAGAGGCTTAAAACGTGGCCACTGCAAACCAAGGCCAACACTCTGGAGTGTGATGTAACAAGGAGGAAAACGGAGTGTTTGATCCGGCCTCCGGCTCATGCCCAGAGCATCGCCTGCCAGCACATGCATTGCCGACTGAAATGATGCAAAATGTCGGGAACATCTGAGGGCAAGGGGGCTCCTCCCACAGGAAGCCCAATGCCAGGGTCAGGGGGATTAATATAATTAAAACCCTAAGATGCAGTGGAACTCAAGGAAACGTGGTTGAGCAACACACTGCTAAGACTCCAGATCTTTATTGGGTTTCTTCTCGAAGGCCCTGTGAGCACAGTGAGACAAATACGGCTTTAAGAACTAAGATTCACCCCACCAGGCATTAATGGGGCCCAGAAACTATGTGAGCAATCTTAGCCGACATCCCCAAGACGTTTATATCTGTCCAACGTAAAACCAGAGGGGGAGACGTTCATTCTGTCAGCCTTCTGATAGCAGGTATACAAGATCTCTTAGCCCCACAAAAGGCTCCAGATATATTCTCTAGGAGTTCAACTGCCTTAAAATATAGGCTTGCATTTATCTTGGCCACATTAACGAGATCTGTTTGACCAATACATTTATATTTATGATGACTAAGGGCAGATTATGGTTGTTAAAATTTGTCCCTGGGACATGAAAACACTCCTTTGTCATTAATACATTCTGTAATATAAACTATGATGTCAGGTCAACGTAAAGGGAAAAACGTTCCGAAAATATGCACACATCATTTTTTAAAGCAATTGAGCCTAATGGAATAACAAAGGTCATCATAACAAACCATTACAGCCTTGGTCTTGGCAACTCGAGCCACAGAAGAATCTCCAAGAAACCATCATCATTCCTCCAATGTTATGGCAGCCAGACGACAGGAATGGCTCGCAAATGAGTCATACGGGCTCAGATCCTCGGTAGCTATGTGAGCGCGGGACGATCAATTATTCATGTGTTTACAGAGAGCTTTCTTGGTTGATGTTAACCAGAGCTGCTTGCAAAGAAGAGCTCTCCAGCTGTCCTTGGCCGTCCTGGGCCTCTGACTAACAAGCTGCCTTTAATTGCTAGGCCGGTCATCTGGAGGATGCCCCTCCCCTGGACCAAGCAAATACAATCTCTCCGAGTCTTTATTAGGTGTAAAAATATTCATCAGACATACTAATGACAGCGAAACTTTATTGACAGAACTCCCAGCAAATCCCAAAGAGAGAGATACAGGTTAGACTTGATTTAGAGCCCCAGGGTTCAACTAGGACTGGAGTATGGACTTGAAGAGAGAGGTCAGGGACTGGTGGAAGGTAGAGAGAAGGGAATGGAGGGGGGAAATCAGGGGCTGTGGGCTTATGAGAAAGGTTGAAGGAAGAGCAATCTAGAAAGTTCTGTGAAGGTAAGACATGACTGAGGACCACCAAGGGTGACTAGATTAGGTTGGTCAATAGCCAAACGTGAGTGAACTTGACCCACCATCAGCTTTGGAAGAAGTTGGATGGGAAGTCATTTCTCAGCCTCTTCTGTTACTTAATACAACTTATGACCTGTCCAAGAAGACTAATACTGTGACTGAGGCAACGCCCCCTCCGGAGCTAGGGGAGAGCATGGGACCCGGTGGCCCACCGGGCCTCCATCAGCTGTGTTTGAGGGAGAGCAGGACCACAGTCCGGGCTGCGACCTGGGCCTCCTCCTCTGAGGACAGTGCAGTCAGAGCCGACACCGAGATCCCTCCGATTTTTATTATCACAATTCCCAAAACATTGGTGGTGCTGAGCCCAAATCTTCCCCTTGCTCGAGACGGGGTAACTTGAGATGCTATCATAACTCACTTGTCCATTTCTTTTTTGTTGTTAATCCTGACCTGAGGATATTTTTTCCAGTGATTTTTAGAGAGAGAGGAAGGGAGAGGGGGAGAGAGATAGAAACATCAATGTTAAGCTGCCTGCTGCACGCTCCCTACTGGGCATTGAACCCTGACCTCTCGGTTCATGGGTTGACAACTCAACCACTGAGCCACATCAACCAGGTTCACATGGTTCCTTAAATCCTGTTGGCATTCTCCCGTGGGATCCCGAGATCCCATTAGTAATGCTATCTGCTGAACTCTTATTTTTGCCTCAGTCTAACTGTAGGTTCAACATAAAGTGGATTTATTGGGGAAGATGATGGTATAGGTTACTCGATTATTTTAATTCTTCAACTCACATCAAGTGTACAGGAAACAAATTGCAATAATTCACCAACCAGAGAACATATACGTGCACCTGTCAACTTGTAACGTGACCTCAGAGCTAGGCTCGATTCCAACAATTTCTGACCCCTTTTCTAAAACCAGTAGGAAATGCACAGCTTTTGGTAAAAAGCATGTTTGCTTGACAGTCCTTGGAAAGTGGGTGTTTGCCTGGGGATGCTGTGTGCGCGCGAACCCACCTGTGAAAGGCCCAGGCCACAGAATTACTGGCTTTGCCCGTTAACCTCGGTCAGCTTTCAAAGCCAAGAAGTCAGTAAGATCTGAAACTAGTCAAAGTAGCTTCCATTTACTTACATTTTTTTCATGATTTCATCAGCTTCCTAATACAATCAAAGGAGAAAATAGCAACGACATACTTCATCCGAATTTAGTTACATAACTCCATCAACAGAAAAATTAGACCTTGGTTTTTAAATGACAGACCTATGTTTTCCTTTTCTCCCATGAAAGGTCTTTGGTGGTTTATTTGGAATCACACAATCCCGTTTCTTCTCTTCTGGGGGCTTCTGCAGTTTCTTACCCTGGACCTGAAGAGGGGCACCCAGTGACGAATTGATGGAACCAGCAAGGATCCAGGAGGGCTCCGTGACAGTACAGCCCCCCTTTTAGGAAACCATGACTCTGGCAGAGAAGCAGAAAACACCTGGAGGGTACCCAACTTCCTTTAAAAAAGAAAATTCTAGAATAGAAAACCAAAATCTATCCACAGGTATTTTTTCAGTCTTTTCAAAGGCATGGGCTGAGCCGCCCCTCCTCGCCTCTAGATGGCACCACCAGTCCTTTCAAGAAGGTTCCTTTTTGCCTGACGGGCGTGGCTCAGCAGTTGAACATTGACCTAGGATCCAGGTGATCAGGGTTTGATTCCCGGTCAGGGCACACGCCGGGGTTGCGGGCTCCATCAATGACTCTCTCATCATTGATGTTTCTATCTCTCTCTCTGCCTCTTCTTTCCTCTCTCTGAAATCAATAAAGATACATTAAAAAAATTTAAAAAAATTAAAATCAAGAAGGTTCCTTTTTGCTCTTACCTGAAGGGGGCGCCATCATTTATTTCCTGGGCAACATGAAACAGCATCTCAGACATCAGACCAGGGGTCTGCCCCTCGTCTGCCCCTCTCTAGTGGGACCATCCGTTCTCAGATATCAGAAGAAATTCTGGATCATGAATGGAATATATCTGATATTCTGTCTCATGTTTGTTGGTCTTGCTCTCCACAGGTTTCACATGAGAGGGTGACAGCAACGTTGCCCTCAGGAGTTGGTTTTCCAGCCTGACATTTCTGCTGTCCCTCAGCCCAGAGGCCCTGCATGCTGTGCAGATCCTGGACTTGAAGAGGGGCACCCAGTCACGAACTGATGGAACCAGCAAGGATCCAGGAGGGACACCGAGGAGGTTTTCAGTGTTTCCTGAAGGTCATGTTCTTTACCCCCTTTCAAAAGCTCCCCCTGAGCTTGAGGAGAAAAGCGAAGTGAGGTTCCAGCCTTATTTGCGGAGCTACTTAATTTCCATTGCACGCCCCACGCATGCGGTCATAAAACCTTCCAGAACATTCTTCTCACTCGCCCACTCTTCCTCTGTCTCTTCTGTTCTCTTTCCCTAAGGAGTGGTAATGAGATGGTGGAGGTGAGCACTCTGGGTAGATGAACAAAGAAGGAAAAGAAAGAATAATCCCACAATCATAGTTAAACATGGAGTTTTCAGAATCTTGTCTTAAATTTAAGCGGCTTCCTGAAGGCCTACTCAGTTATGGAGACCATATTTCTCTGCTTTGAGCACCAGGGCACTGGAAGCTTCGGGACACGAGGAAGTCCAAAAGAGGAAAGGCCTGGAAACCACAGGTCTAAAGAAAATGCGGAGGTGTCAAGTGTTGGCATTTCCGAAGACATCTTTTCAAGGCATCTGATACCCCAGGACCTGCGACTCCTGTTACTGGCCCAGCAGGTACACGGCGTCTCCCACTTTGATTGTCCCTGGGTTTTCCGGAACAAAATACTGTCCAAAGAGAGGCGATTTTCCATATAACTTTTGTTCAGAAGGGTCACACAGGCGGTAACTACAGTAGGAGAGAGATCATGATGAGTCACAGCCACACAGAAGCGAGAGCTCAACTAGCACGTGGTTTCACCAGTTAAGGTCAGAATCCGCCCCAGGCTAGTGGTGCCCATCAAAGTCCAACAGAACAGCGCCCCCCAGCGCACACACCGCACACACCGCACAAGCGCAACCAGCGGCCACATCCCCACGTCTTACCCAGGGACACCGGGGATCTGTGTACGTTGAAAGGGCACTTTGGGGTGAGGAGTCCAAATGAGCCCTTTACACTGGCCACGGTGGGGCGAGGGGGTTGGTTTGTACAAACACAGCTTTGCAGGTGACGGTGCATTGCACTGTCTTGGAGTAGAAATGGAAGCACTAGGGGAGTGGAGTGTGGCCAGCCTGCCACTGCCTCCCTAGGTGCCATCTGGCCCTGCCCACCCCTCCTGGATTTTTGCCCCACCTCCAGCTCCTGCTAAGAGCACCCCCGCTGGGCTGCGGGCAGGAAGCCCCACAAATGAGACCAGCAGTGCCCTCTGGTGAGGACCGGGAGGTACACCAGGCTGAACAGCACTGGATCACACAGGGATCTTCCATGATTCTGTCAAATATACACACTTCTGTTGGGATTAATAAGCTACACACTCACTTAAACGCTCCTTTCCTAGGGTATCTTCTGCCTCAGTGAATATGAAACATTCAACTACTCTGATGAGCAGGAGGCCGGAGCCGCGCTGATCAGCTCAGACAGAGGCCTCCACACGGCAAGGGTGCAGTCAGTTGGGTGGAAACCCCGTAACCTGTAAAGTGCGGTGCACCAGGGAGGGCTGCTCGTTACGCACTCTGCCTGCTTTACTCATTAACTGTCAGAGCCCCGACCGTCACTAGGCAGGGGCTCTGGTCACTGCTGGGCCCCCAGGCAGGGTCACAGGCCTCTTCGGAGACCTCGCTACCTACTGGCTCCCTGGCCAGGTGAGGTCCTTCCTGAGCGGCACTGGGACCGTCCATGGAGAGGGGAGCGTCCGAGGCTGAGCCGGGGGGGCAGGGCTGCATTGAACGCTGCTGCCTCGGAGGGAGAAGGCAGAGGTGCCCACAGCCTCCTCCTCCGGGAAGGCGTCCAGTTCACCAAGGACCACAGCCCACATGCTCACAGTGTACAACCTTTTATCATCTTTTTTGTTGTTATTGTTAATCGTCACCCAAGGATATTTTTTCCATTGGTTTTTCTTAGAGAGCGTGAAGGGGAGGGAGGAGGGGAGAGAGAGAGACAGAGAAACATCGATGTGAGGGAGACACATGGATTGGTTGCTTCCCACACTCACCCTGACCCAGGGCTGGGGATCGAACTTGCAACCCAGGTGCATGCCCTTGACCGGGAATCAGACCCGAGAGCCTTGGGTGCGCAGGCCGATGCTCTAACCACTTAGCCACACTGGCCAGGGCCAGGCCTGACTGTTTTACAGACAAAGGCTCCCCTGTGCCTCAGTGGGTGGCAGCATCAGTAGGCAAGGTCAGCAGAGAGGTGTCCCTGCTGAGAACTCACATTTGGAAGCAACACAGCCCTCGGCCACCAGGAGCACACAGAAGGCAAAAAGCAGTGTGTCTCCGAGCATCCCGCCCCCGAGCCAGGACGGTGTCTGGACACCACTGTTTGCTTCGAGTCCCATGATTTATGTCACGCGGCCGGGCCCTTCTCGGCCCGATTTATGACCACCTGTCCAGGAGAGAACATAAATTACTACCTCTATGGCAGTTTAAATCTCAGCGAGATAGGAGAAGACACCTCGGCTGGCTGCTCTGTCTCCTGAGGGCTTAGGGGCAATTAGGGGAGACGGTGGGGCTGCAGAAAGCCTGCAGAATTTCAGGAGGGCCCTGCTGGTCCCCATGACCCCTGCCTGCCTGCCCTCAGTCTGTGTTTGGGATCAATTATCCTCTATAAACACAGGCTCCCCATGGAAAGGGGGCGCTGAAGATTCAAAGGAGCAGCCCAAACACATGGAGCGCTCTCAGGAGGCTGAGCCAGCCACGGCGGACACTTTACATCCCCAGGGAAAGATGCCAGACGCCAAGCGACACGGTGGCGACAAGAATCAGACGTATAGGAAAGGATGCCGGTCAATTCCCGCAGTCACTCGGCTGGTTTGACACAGAATCATCCAGCTCTGCCCTGCCCTGTTCATTTCCTGGAGAACACCCAGAGTCTGAGCCAGAGGGGGACCCGCTGGTGACCACATCAGTCGTGTGTGGCAGAGTCAGGGATCCCGTCAGGGAGGGGCCAGAGAGTAGCTTCTGGAATAAGAGCATCGGCAGTGGGTGTTGGTGCCAACCAAAGGAAACTCAATTGTTGTCCCAAAAGAGGCCGGGAGCTTGGTGAGAGATCAGAAGGAAGGGGTTATAGCCGGAGTCACATCCCAGGGGGGGGAGTCTGGTCCCACGACCCCCAAGTATGACTGCCTTCCCCTCCACGTGCTCTTTCACGGTGGCTTCGATGCCAGATTGCCACCCTGCAACTTCATTCCATCCCCAAGGCTTCCCCGGTGCTGAGCCTCTGTGCCTTCCCCCTCGAACCCTACAAGTGACACCCAGAGACAAGAGTCAGGGTCAAGGCCAAGAGTCTCGGGGGCTACAGCGATGAGCCCTGCCACCCACCTGTGGCACTGCACCCGATTTAGAAGGCGCCAAGGAAGATGAGCATCGTTCACTCACTCCCACAAGTTTCCCCAATATCTCACCCCAGATCTGAGAGATAGCAGCACAGAAATGTGGGGGTCGGGAATGTTCCAGCAAAGGTGATGCAGGTGGGGTGTAGCACATTCACAGATGACATATAAGAATATACATATAATTCCTATCTCATAATTCACCCACAGAGCACCTCCATCAACATTTTGGTTTCCAGGCTTCTAGCCTTTTATGGACTCATGTGCATTTCTATGTTTTAAAAAGTAAAATCGAGTAAACAACAAAGTAAATGCAATAGATGCTATTTTGTAACCAGCTTTTAAAAATGAACATTGTCTTAACTTTCTGCGTATTCCACTTTTTTCCTATAATTGTGTCACAATATTTTATGATGAAAATTTTAAAGGAAACATAAAAGGAGAAATATTAGTGCAATGAATCCCACACTTATCATCCAGATTCTACTTAGCAAGATCCTGACACTTTTTTTCCCCCATATCCCCTTTCTTTTTTGCTAAAATAATCTGCAGCACATCCCAGACACCGGGTCACCTCCCTATATACTAACACCCCTCTTCAAAACATACGGACGCTTCTCACATCGCCACAATGCCATTATCACACCTAGTAAATTTCTGGTATCATCTAATACGCAATCCATAATATAATTTGCCAAAATACATAAACAATGTTTTTAAAAAAAACTTGATTTGTTTGAATCATGAATTCTCAATGAAAAATAAAATCCTATGTACAAGCGGGCATCCTGGGGACCAGAACACCCCAAAGTGTTTCCCAGATTCTCGATCCCGAGGGCCCCACCAGCTCCAAGACTGTATGTGTGGAGGCATCTCACTGACCCTTCTTAAAGATACTAAATTTCCTGTTCCTACCTCTTCAGGGTCTCCAGCGGCTCCTTCCTGCTCATGACGCCGGTGTCTGGATCCACCGTGGTTAAAAGGCACCTGCACACACAGACCCACAGGGCATCACACGGGGACAGAGTGACCTTGTCCCTCCCCCCCTCTTGTCCTGGGCAGCGAGGGAAGCATCTTACCTGGAACAAGCCATCACCCTCTTCAGTTCCACGTCACCAATTAGAAGCTCGTTCCATGAATCCTAGGGGACGGGACACAAAAGTCACATGAGCACTCCGGAGCCCTCGCCCTGACATGTCACTGGAAGCCTCTAAACTGCATATGTGTTTCTCAACGGCCCAGAAAGCTGGGCACCTCGGTGTAGAGCAGCCCCGGCCTGTACTGTGTAATCGCTCCACCAAGGGGCACTGTCGTCCTAAAAAGCATAAAAGATCCAGAAGGTGAGAAAGGAGTTCCAGTTAGGAAACTAACTTAAGAAATACTTCCAGAGCCCCTTTCGTGTGCAATAAAAACCGTTAGGAATTGATTCCCAGGTAAATTAGGTAAAAATTTCACCATATGAGGAACAAATCTATTGGTCAGGTTTAGAAGAAGGGGTGACCAATGAAAAGGGGCCACTGCAACCAACCACATGAGAAA